AGTAATGATGCTAATCACCCTAACAATGTTAGCGTAGAGTTTGATCTAAGCATTAATGACTGGGGTCCGGTCACCCTAGGTACTCAAAAATCATCACTAAATCTACACACAGAGAAAAGTCATTGACAGTATGTTATACGGTATTTCTACTTGCAACAGGTGCGTAAAAAATGTCACACAGTTGGTAGAATAAAACTTGAGTTAAAAATTCAAAATTCATCACTGTAACACCTACTGCGTGTAGTGCGCAGCGTTGCCACATCTGAGCAAATGAATGTAAGTCCCAAGCGGGACTAAAAATAATATCCACATGACTATATTTCAGGACCAGTCAGACGATGGCATTATCAAAATTGTACACACACACACACACACACACACACACACACACACACACACACACACACACACACACACACACACTTATATATATATATATATATATATATATATATGGACACACACACACATATATATATATATATATATATATATATATATGTGTGTGTGTGTGTATGTGTGTGTGCGTGTGTGCGTGTGTGTGTTGTGTGTGTTTGTTGAGATTAAAACAACACCTCGGAGACTTGATTGAAAGAAGTTAAAATCAAGCCCTCTGATGTGTTGGTGTAATCTTATTAAGTGAACATTTTAGATTATTTTTTGATAATGATCTCTCTTTCTCTCTCTTCCTCTCCCTCTATTTCTTTCTTTCTTTATTTCTGTCTGTCTGTCTGTCTGTCTGTCTCTCTTTTCTTGGGATAGGGCACTTTGATTACAAAAGACAGTTTGAGTTAAAAACGTTATCTTTAAAAATATTTGGTCGAATTTTTATTGCTAAACTTAATCTTTCTTACAAACACACACAGACAAAACACACACACACACACACACACACACATATATATATATATATATATATATATATATATATATATATATATATATATATATATATACATATATATATATATATATATATATATATACTGAAACAATTCTATGGTTTTGTCTCATCATTAATCAGCTGCATCGGAATTCATGATCATTTAATAGTGACATTCAGACAAAGATAAACGAGTTAGCGCCTTGTCTTGAAGTCTCTGAAGATAAATATCACAGCGTTTCTCTTTAGAGTTCTAAAAGCTAGCAGGACTTCTTTGGCGATCATTGCAAGTTTAATGCGTTCAATTCACAATCTCTAAAATTCTTGGCCGTGTGCAAAACTACTTTAACTTTACGTAATCTCAATGCCTGAATATAATCGACTCATAGACAAGGAGAGAATTTCGTAACTACACCCCTCAACATTCACAGATATCAACGTACTTTGGAAATAAACTATAAACTCTAACCTCAGGTTTAAACTTGTCTTAACAATTTCTGATAAATATCTACATCCAGTTTTGAATACTTGTCACGATATTATTTATGTAATAAATATTTGAGAGTAGCTTAAGATTTAAGGGTTGTGTCGTGTGTTTCAAATATTTTCAAATAAAAATTATTTCTGTAATCATTACTTTACAAGCAAGGAATTAAAAGTCACGTCAAGTGGTTACGGAGAGGGGCATGGAAAAGAAAGAATAATAAAAGACCACATTTTAAAGAGACAGAGAATCACGATTGATATTGCATTTAAATAATTAAAGATCATAATTGACAGGAAAATAGGACGTTGATTTCAACAATTACGACGAGAATATTGATAGAAAAAAGGCAGATGGAAGTTACGTTATTTCGATGGGGAAATGACAAAAGCAGTGATGCCACGTCTTCTTTTGATTGTGTTTCGAATGACTAAATCCCAAATCCAGAACCAGAAGCACCAGATTTGTTAGCAATATTCAATTCATAGATGAACAGTAGACTTATAAACATGCTAGAGAGATTCAATCAAGAATGATTGCCTTGCCCAACATAATGATCAGACTTTAATAGGATCAGACTTAGCAACAGATTCAAAATAATCCTTTCAATTCATATCAGTGAAAAACGTGAGGACAAGGTCGGTTCTATGCGTAAACATAGGGGTGTACCATTTGGAGTTTTCCCGCTTCTTTCAATGACGTACAAACCATCTGAACATCTCGTGAGCGTCAAACTCGGGTTACGTCTAGTGCCATCCTTTCCGTTGCCAAGCGTTTCTTTCTTGTCTGTCTCAATAATCTAGACGTTGAGCACGTTGATTTACGGAATAAGTATATATAACTTGCTTTTTTAATTTGAGGTCAATAGTCTTTTATAACACACACACACACACACACACACACACACACACACACACATATATATATATATATATATATATATATATATATATATATATATTTACACACACACATACTAAAAAACGTAATCATATTAGATATCAATACATTCTTATTCCAAGACGATTTGTGCGTTCATCGGGTTTTTAATTACAATGTATGAATTCTACGTAACATCAGCGTGTTTCTTCCTAAAATTTATGTTTACATATGTATACGCATATATACACACACACACATATATATAAATTCTAATATATATATATATATATATATATATATATATATATATATATATATATATATATAATATATATATTATATATATATATATATAAATATATATATATATATATATATATATATTATATATTTATATATATATATATATATATATATATATATATATATAATATATATATTAGAATTATATATATATTAGTATTTATAAATTACTGAACCATATGACCCATACGATAGAATTTTCGGCAGAAAATTGCAAAGTTTATATAGATGTTTCTTGGAAAAAACAAACAAATAAAACTCACTATTTAAAATGACTATGATTGATACTAAGAAGAAAATAAAGACTTCACAATCAAACTTCGATTGCTCACGAGGAACATCTTTCAGGAATAATAACAGTTCGAAGGAAAAATACATTGATTACGCAATCAGGACATTATCGCGCCGGCTAATTTGCATTTTTTCGGATAATATCCGAATTAACTACGCATATTAGAGATAAATGTAACTACAAAGCACAGCAGGAAATCTGACTAATCCTTTCCAATAACACAAAAATAGACTGATATTTATCAGTCAAATATTTTAATTATTTGATTACTTATGCAAACGCTTATCTAAACGTCTCATTTCAATACATCGACCGATAGGCTCGTGTCTCTTATGTCAGGAATACATTCTCTTCCAGTCTCCATCTTTACTCAAATGCACGTCGCATGTAATAATTTTCTTTTTCAGTCTGACTTGTCACTATTAACCGAACGATAGATTAATCTGACGCCATACAGCTGAGGAAGGCTAGAGAACTTGCGGGCCATAACTTAATGAACCTGAATAATGCACTGAGTATAGTTATGATGAGTTCACGCAGGATATTCAACGCCATTGACGAACAAATCTTTTATCTATTCATAGCCGAATTATTTACTCTTGAAACATGTCCAGTCTATTTCCTGTTCTCAAAAAAAAAAAAAAAGAAAAGAAATAAAATCTGAATGCAACAAGTGAAAGTAAGATGAAAGCTTATATCTATATTCAGACTTTAAAAAATTATATCGTTTTTAAAATAAATGTTAGGTAATTTACCCACGCATGCATGGACTCTCCCAGCTATAAATAGGATCAAGTACTGCCTTTTGGAGAGAGAGGTTTCCAGCAGTCAACTCTGAAAGTCAGACTGAACACTCTTGCTGTAACACTCTCGTTTGTATATGTTTGTATTAACTTCTTTATTTCTCACCCTCACTAGGCCACAAAAAAAAAATTAATAAGAAATATAGATTTCTTGATGTGTTGCAACGGTTCCAATTTGGTAAAGAATTCGATTCTCGACAGGTTCCTTATAATTGCAGCTTTGTGTCTATGTAAGCAAAAATTATTACATACCCGTTATTACTTCTTCTTATTCAAGAAAAAGTGTACCTTTCCCATGATTCATTTAGCAAACAGGCATATCTAGAAATGGGTGTGAGATTGGTGCAATTCTTTGCGTATGAGAAATTGGCGTGTCAAGTTCGAATTACAGTCAGGTTCGCTCCCTTCACTTTTTCGCAAATAAACTATTAATCGCTCTCTTCTGCTACAAGTGAGGGGTAAAAGAATAGCTTGTTCTTCATTCTTAAACCTGTATAGATGAAGAGCTTGTTATAGTGGCAAAATTTCGAAAGACTTCCAACCTTAGGGTAGAGAAGTTGGGCTTGAGCCAATCCTGTCACCCCATGGAAACATCCTATTATAAGAACCTCACCAGAGGCCTTATCTGTGTTTAAGCAGATAGCAAGCCAAAAAAGAAACTGATGAAATTTATGTAATAACCTTTTCTTCGAGCAAGAAATCTTTTCGGTTAAGTTGAAAAATACCAAGAAGTGAATAAAATACATCATTGCTTATTCCATCCTTCCGTAGTTAGCACGAACATATGACCTGTCAATACCTCGTAAATAATGGAATATGAGATGAAAGACGGATAGAACATATCAGAGAGCCTGATTGATTTCAGTAAAAAAGACAAGAGAAGAGAGAGGAGGCGATAATCTTCTCATTTATTTAACGTCTGCTTCACTGAAATTGAAAAGATTACAATTTCACTTTTTTTTTTTTCATTTGTACCCTCTTACGTCTACTGCATTTATAATTATGATTGTTATTGCAATATTTTATTAAGATTTTTTAACGATCACCCACGGGGATTTTATAGTCGACGAACTTGAATGAAGCTTATTCAATGTTTTGAAAATTATGATTCACCAAAAAATTCAAATAAGAAAACTGTCCAATTTTTTCGGGTAGTACTACTTGAAATAATTGTCGTGAATAAAACTATGGTGTTTTTTTTTCATTGAGGGGTAAAAAAAAATGGTCAGTGTTCCAGGCTTTATGGAACATCTCTAAAGCATTACGTTATAGAATCTCAAGAGAGAATAAGAAAGCAACAAAAACGGAAGCGGATGAACGGAAAAAAACTGAATGAAAAAGAAAAAAAACGAATTACATCGAAAATTGACAAAAGAAAAAAAATAGAAAGAAAACAATAATTCGAAATGAAGAGACGAAGAAGAGAGATAAAAAAAGACGAGCATAAATAGGAAAGAAAATAAGATTAAAGATGATTACGGGGATCACTGAAAGAAAGAAAGAAAGAAAGAAAGAAAGAAAGAAAGAAAGAAAGAAAGACATGAAAAAATACAATGAACAAATTAAAGAATGTCTAAGAAGAAAATGTGAAGAGGTGGTGAAAAAATGAAAAACATTTCAATATACGAAAGAAAGAAAGAAAAAAGGAAGAAAGTCAGAAAGAAAAGACAGAAGATGAAGGAAAATTTAAAAAGAAAGAAAAAAAAACAAAAAATGAAAAATGAAAAGATGGGGAAGATACGAAAGAAATGATGTCATTAAATGACGCATGAACGTAAGAAAGAAATGTAAGCAAGAAAAAAATGAAAGAAAGAAACAAAGAAAAGAAAGAAAGGAAGTTAGAAAGAAAGAAAGAATGAAAGAATGAAAGAAAGAAAGAATGAAAGAATGAAAGAAAGAAAGAATGAAAGAAGGAAAAGAAGAAAGACTGAAAGAAAAAACGAACAAAAGAAAGAATGAAGGAAAGAGGTAACAAACAAATAAAAGAAAGAATGAAAAAAAGAAATAAAGAAAATACGAAATAAAGAAAGAGAAAGAACAAGGAAAGAACGTAAGAAAGAAGCGGTTGAAGATAATAAAAATTTCTTTTTTTTAAAAAAGAATGAAAAAATGAGAGAATGAAGGAGGGAGAGAAAGAAAGAACAAAAGAAAGAACAACAGAAGCGGTCAAAGATAAAAAAAAAATAAAGATAAAAAAAATGAAAAGACAAACGAATAGTAAAATAACCGATATAAAAAAAAAATATATAAAACAAAAAATGTAAAAACAAAATGGCAGCCAACTGACCAACTTCGGTATTGTTTTCAATACGACAAAGGCAAAAATCTCAAGCAATGCACTGGTAACGATATAGAATAATCTCCAGTTGCAAGCATTGTGCAAAAATTTATGAAAATCCCAGCTGTTTTGATATCAGTGATTTAAGAGAGAAGACATGACCAGATTTACAATAAAAGGAAAAAAGACAGCATTAAGGAAATCTGAGAAATATTACACCGTGTATTCCTGTGTTGTTAAAACTGATTCAATGGTATGTCGAAAAAGACATTGGTATTGAATTTCATAACCGACGTTCTTAAGTACACAACTTTGCAGGGAAAACGATATAATTTCATTTTCTTTCTTGCAAAACTTACCAAAGCGAAGCCAAAAGTTTCGTTGGAATAATAATAATAATAATAATAATAATAATAATAAGAAGAAGAAGAAGAAGAAGAAGAAGAAGAAAAAGAAAAAGAAAAAGAGGAGGAGGAAGAGGAGGAGGAGGAAGAGGGGGAGGAATATGCAGCCAACCGTGGAGTCGCAGCTTGGCGAAAATACCAGGGTTAAAAAAACCTGGCAGGTTAAATTGGAGAGACGAACTAAACAGCTTCCCAAATTGTCCCTCTTTTAGGGTTGGGGGCAATCAGGACAATCTCTAAGGTTCTCTCTGTCCCTCAAGACGTCCTGAGGTTACTTGACATCAGTGAGAGTAAGCAGGTGTCAGTGATGCTTGGAACAGCTCATCTGCTATGGAAACGGTTGTATCTGTAAGCTTCACTTAAGAACTGAAATGTGACATTCATCACCGGGCCGAAACATGTAAGAGTCGGAGAGGATATCAAATATTAATAATAATAATAATAATAATAATAATAATAGTAGTAATAAAATGGCCTTGCCTAAGACATTAAGGAAAGAGAAAGAATGGTTACGAAATCTATTTAATGAGAGTTCGAAATAGATCCAAGAAAATTAACAAAACGGATTACAAACTGAGAGAGAGAGAGAGAAAGAGAGAGAGAGAGAAAGAGAGAGAAAGAGAGAGTATCATTTCAAAATGGCCGAAACGCTGTCATATATGCCCGTGAGCTGCTCAGTTTATGCTGTTTAGTTTCGACAGAACTCAAAGGCGACAACACGGCCTTGTTTTCCACCGTGCAACCCCTTTCCCCATAGACGAAACGTTGAAAGCGCCTCGTACTCTATCGCTATTTCCATGGAAAGTGTCAGCCGAATTACATTTCGTAGATCCATTAGTTCTACGCATCACGGTTAAGACCCCTTTCATGCCACGCCCAATGTAGGGGACCACCCTCATTCCCTTTGTATTCCATTGCTGAGAATTAAGTTTCTCACGAGAAGCTTCTTCCACCGCTCTGTGGAAACGGCTCCCAAGAGGTTGTTTCCCCAATCACTAAAATCTTACCCTGTTCAAGTCTAGGGTTAACCGTTATCTTCTGCACCTATCCACATAAACTGTGCCTCTTAAACTGTAACCCCCCTACCACGAGGTGTGGCTCTCGCTAGTGTATCGCTATTTCTGTGGAAAGTCTTCGAACGAATTACATTCCTTATTTCCAGCTGTTGTAACCTTTCACGTCTAAGACCCGCCATGCCACGCTTGTTGTAGCGAACCACCTTCATTACCTTGAGTTTCCATTGGTGAGATAGAAGTTTCACTCGAACACCTTCCTATGAACCGCTAGAATCGACTCCCATCAGTACAATCTTGACCTGTTTAAGACTAGGGTTATCCGTCGTCTTTCCCACATATCCGCATCAACAGTGGCTCTTGGCTCTAATTGTGAAAACCCTCTAGTTCGAGTCGGCTTTTGTGTCATTTACAGTGTGAACATTATTGTAAAAACGAATGTTCCTCCTCCACTTGTTTTTGCTTTCCATCCGCCGTCACGTGAATTCTCTCTGTCTTTTATATGAATATTTTCATGGCAATTGTCATAATGAGATCTCCTTCTTGTTACCTTGATCGCATGAATTTACGCGATTGGCATCTAGCAGGTCTCATCTTTTTAAAACTGGATTAGCTAAATGTAACCGTAGGTTCTATTCTAATTGTTTCTTTTTATTTACACTTCTCAGTAGAACTCTTTTCCGAATACTTGCTTCGTTAACACCTGCAATCTTCAAAAACGTACATGCAACGTAAATCGGGATCTTCTGTCTTCGTGAAACACTTTCTTTTATTGCCCTTTCACTTCATTAAAATCACCTCATTCTATTCTTAGGGTCAAATTACGTTGAATCACCGTTTCTCATACAATTACCGAGGCTAAGCAACATCGAGTATGTTCAGTACCTAAATGAGTGGCTGCTTGGGAATACAAGGCGCTGTATGCTTGGATGTGCTGGTGATGTAACGGTTAACGGCTCGGAATTGGAAATCGGAGAGCTGGGTTCGAATTCCAGTTAGGTTTGTTATATTCCCTTCTGCAAAAATACCCTTCCAAAAGATATGAATCCATCACTTCTCCACTTCCTTCAGTTAGGTTTTAATTTGTAGGAATTTTATCAGTAAATCACTATTTTCTATAAAAGTTTTTTTATAACCTGGAAATATTTTCCGGCCTCAAATAACCAGCAAAAGGTTGCTAAACCGTAAAATGCAAATCAGTTAATTTTGCACGCGTCTGTGAATGTGCTACAGCATACTTATGCTTGATTTTTGGTTGTGTCCATCATAGAGCAACAAATTCGCGGTTAATTTCTTTTTGTATTTTTACTCATGACATGTATAAATCTAATCGTGTTTGTTTTTATGGGGGCAGCCATCTTTGTATTTATCTCATATATGCATGCAATCAGTATAATGTCGTTACTTTTTGATTGCGTTTACGGCTATCATAATGTTTTAATTCTGCTCAGTTTATATCTGTATCTTTCTTTCTTGGCATTCGATGGAGTTGGTGTTACTAGAAGTTTTTGCAACATGACGATGTGTGTTGAAATCCTAGAAATATTTAGTATTGTTGAAGTTATTGCAAACATTTTTTGTCGAGAGTTACAAACTCTATGTTTCGTTCAATTTCGTAAACCAATCGATGAAATTTAAACAAGCTGATTTGTTTGGAAAGAAACAAAAACCATACATCGCGGTTTTTACGGGCCCTAATAAAACCAATTCTACTTTGTACCCACTAACCTGTTTGCACTTCTTCCCAAAATCTGGTTTCAATTGGTTAATGTAGGGCTATTTTAGATGGTGTGGAGACGGTCTAACCGAATTTTTTATTATTAAAAAAATTCTTACATTGTAAAAAATATTTTATGGCTTTATGTATTCTGTAAAAGTTTCATAAGTCGTAGAAAAACAAATCAATTAAGCAATCATCCCATACCCAGTAAACCCTTGCATTTTAGCGGCATTATCACCTTGATGGGGGATTTTGAAACAAAAAAAAATCTTTCAAATATGTCCAGAAAACCTAGAAAAGTGTATGTATATGAATTAAACACAAATAGAAAATAAAGCAGAGGGAAAATATATTTTTAGTGATAAAGCATCCAAACAAATAGGCGAGTAATGTCGAATAAGTGCATTATGAAAAGAAAACTAAGAAAAAAGGATAAAAATAAGGTATTAACGTCGTTTTTATATTAAATGCCGCTGAAAAGTGAATGAAGCAATAATCCCTTAACTTCTAGCTTCTCTGCGTTAGAAAACATAAAGCTGAGAAATAGTTTTAAGGAGTAAAATGAACTTTCCTTTTCTTATTTATCTTGTATTACAACTAATGATAGTTTGAGAAAGATTGCGGACCAGGGGAGGGTGAGTGAAATATCGAAAAAGAGGCAGCAGGTAATGAAAGCAAATTCGGCAAAGCACACAAGAACAGAGACCGGACGGCCAGCACGAAATTAAAAGTCGTAACGAAGGAGGAAAAATATGATAAGGGAGGTTAATTCAAAGGGGGGAAAGTCGACAGCTCGGATCAAATGGACACAAAAAAAAAAAGAAAACAGAGCGTCGACTTCAAATTGCTAATATATTCAAACGCAATTCGAGCCGTGATAGAAACATCATGAGAAAATGACAGGATCTATAATGGATAAATATTTATGCTATTTAGATAGTTTAGATTTTAAAAGTACACGAATGTACTGAAGAAGACAATAAAGCGATTATTAATCAGTTTTAAAAGTTAGCGTTAGAAATAGCATTTTTTTTTTGCTTTTGTTTTTTTTTTTTTTTAAGTAGAATTAAATATGGAACATATCTTTTTTATAAGCTGTAGGACAATGCATATAAAAAAGATCGCGTATTCCATATTCAGTCCTGCTAGCTCTTCACAACTTCTTGTCTTTTTTGTTCTTAACTTTTGGCACTTTTCCAACCGTCTTTGACGGTGTTCTGCCATCCACTCACTTCTTTTATTTGGCACTTCTCTACAGGACCTCAAGATGCAGTGGGGTAATAGAACGTGAAATGGGAGAGCTATTTTCCTCTCCCAGTCTAGTTTCATTACATTCACTTTCGCGCAAATAACCTTAGAAAATGAATCGCTCCAGTCTAGCAGAATAGACTTTGCCGCCTTGGTTGGTAACCAGTCTAGTAGAACAAAAAACTATGAATTCAAACTGTATGTCGCTCTGTTGAAACACATATAATTATGCAGCTAATAAAATGATCCTGATGTTTGCAAAATCTCTATGATTCCGACAGCAGTCAGCCTTGATTGATTGATACAGGATATGGACAATAATGGCTCTCCACAACTTCCTGCCATTGTTTTTTAATTAACTTTTAACTCTTTTGTCCTTGCTATGCCATCCATTTACTCAAACTCATTTCCAAATGCTTCTATTGCGTTCAATGAGTGTTAAATTTTCCAAGCCTTCTTTCCTCATAATATTTTCCAGAAAATCCAGCTGTCTCTTTCTTGATCATGTGCCTTGTAGTTCCTATTTTCCTTTAAGAATTAAATTCTCTTGCGTTTGATTGGTACACAGTCATAAAATTTAGTAGAATACTATGAGATACAATTACCGAATTAGTTTGTTAGACGAGATTGGTAACTATAATGCTATAATAGACAATATGTTTTGTTATTTTTAGGGATTTGTTTGCTAAACAGTATTCTCCGACGGAGTGTATTTCAGAGTATTTACCAGCACTGTAATTAAAGATAAACTAAAGAGGCCAGCATAATAGCTTTTGATTTATTTATTTTCACACAATACAAGGCTCAAGAGGCACTTAAGGTATCGTGTTGCCGAATGAGGTTTTAATATGAACGTGAGAGGAGGAGGTAAAAATTGCCGTTTACGAAAATATATCGGAAACATAACGAAAAGCCCTAGACTTAACGAGGTTAAAATGGAAGTGACAAAGAAAGCATTCTCTCGGGAGTCTGTTCCACAGAAGCTGTCTGAATGGAAATTCCTTTTTTCCGGAAAAATGGATAGTTAATCTCATTGTACGTTGTATCATGGATCTTCACTATGTAGACCAGAATATGGGGTGGGGATACTGAACAATTTAACTTGTCAGTTCGTTAACCATAACGTAGACACTTTTGAACTTTATCTAGACTGAAAAGAGAGGAGTTCGCAGCTACAGCTCGGATATGGCAGCAGTAATTCGTTTTTTATATTGTTCTTTCGGTTTGTTTTGTTTTACGGTATATCAACCTCAATGGTTTATTTAATGCCAACAACATTTTTATTGCTGGTAATATTTTTGTTCAAAAATGTATTGCTGTTAATATTGTTTTCCTTCAAAAATCTATTTCCGGTAATATTTTTTCTTCAAAAATATATAGCTGGCAATAATATTTTTTTTTTTTTTTAAATTATTGCTATATATATATATATATATATATATATATATATATATATATATATATATATATATATATATATATATATATATATATATATATATATATATATATATATTTTTAAATATATTGCTGGTATTACTGGTAATAAAAAAGTATTTTGGTATTAAAGCCTATTTTTACACATTCATAGTGTTTTGAACCCAATATTTGTGAGCCTAACAGGTGCTAACACCCCGGGTCTGGGTGTACC